CTACCCTGTGTCCGTATACATGCTATTTTGCTATACCTCTTGCACACCTATATAAGTTCAAAGCGCGAGTGAGACTTCAACACTGCGGACTGCTGCACGTTTCTGAAGGCTATCGAGCGGTTGACGGAAAGGGCACTTGAAGCGCTATGCTGCTATACCTGGTAACTCAATTGCAGCTACCCTGGGTAAAAGGGAAATTGAAGTGCTATACCTGGCAACTGCCTTGTAGCTACTCTGGGTCCGCCCGCGCGCCTAAATCTAGGGCAGACCGAGAGCCAGCAAGACGCGCGCGCGGAGCCAGGGTAGCGGACCCAGGGTAGCTACCGCTGCACTTTTACTATCTCTCTTCAAGCAAAAGGCCCGGGGCTGGCAAAAAAGGATAGCTAACAAAAAATTGCACCAGCGTAGACCTAGATAGCTAGGCAGAAGCCCACGACCTGTTGACATGCGACTGGCTGGAACAAGAATGTACGCAGCCTGCGCAGCCAGCTTACGACACCTCGCACAATCAGCTGACACCAGCACCCGACCAGCGCCGCCGCCCGTCTTAAACGCGCGCTCAGCCAGCTCACAGCAGCACCAGCACCCAGGACCACAACACCAGCGCCAGCACCGACACCCTTTCGAAAGCGCGCGCAGCCAGCTCATTCTTATTTGCAGCAAGAACCCCATAGCCATCCCTACTTGGGGAACAACAACGTATGATCTTGCCCGTATAAGTTTGTGCGCACAAAAGTACGCGCGCAAACAGCAAAGCCCGTAAGTGTCATTGGCCCAAGGCCAAGCAGTACCCAGCGCCACTATTGACTTTGTAGCATGCTTGAAACGATCTGCATAATGATAAGGCCGTATGATCTTGCGCGTATAAGTTTATGCGCGCAAAAGTATGCACGCAATCGGCAAAGCCCGTAGGCTTCACTCGCCCAAGGCCAAGCAGTATCCTGCACGACTATTGTGTGTGTAGCATGCTGAAACATGCTGGTACAATGGTCGGTTGAGAGCCTGACACATAGAACATTATACGTACAAAAGTATGCGCGCAAACAGTACAGCCCTTGACACAGCTGTCGGCCAAAACAGAACCTGAAGGCTGTAAATTTACCACCGCGCTAATAGACAAAGAACGCTCAAGCGACAACACCGTATGATGTTGCGTGCATAAGCGGCGGTTTGTTACCCTTCACTGTCAGAAGCGGCGGTTGTTACCACTTCACTGTCAGAAGCGGGCACCAGCACCGAGCACCGGCGCGCCAGCTCACGGCGCCCAGCACCAGCACCCAGCACCGGTATAGCGCCAAGCACCAACCAGCGCCCGGCACCCTGTCTCCACCACGCGCGCAGCCAGCGCCCAGCACCGGCGCCCAGTCTCCACCACGCACACTGCCAGCTCACAGCACCGGCACCGGCGCCCACTGTCTGTACCATGCGCGCTGCAGCACCCAGCACCGGCACCGTGTCTCTACCACCCGCGCAGCCAGCTCACAGCACCCAGCACCAGCGCCACAGCCCGCACCAGCACCCGGCACCGGCACCCAGCACCGGCACCCTGTTTCCACCGCCCACCTGTCTCGAAAGCGCGCGCAGGCAGCTCATTGTCATTTGAAGTAAGAACCCCATAGCTTCGCTATCTGGACAAAAAAGAGCGCCACATATATGCAAGCTACACCACCAGCACAAGCACCACCAGCACCAGCACCCAGCACCAGCACCAGCAACCTGTCTCCACCACGTGCACAGCCAGCTCACCGCACCAGCACCAGCACCGGCACCCGGCACCCAGCGCCAGCACCGGCACCCGACACCATCACCAGCAACCTGTCTCCACCACGTGGTGCCTGGAATCCACCATGATGCAGGTGCAGTGCATGAGTCGCAGTTGCAGCCCGATCGTCCAGAAGCGTTCCACATCATGCCATACCAGTCATCTGTGGAGGCCTTCCTCGACGATTGCATCATGCGATCGGAGTCTCCAACGCTGCAGCTGACCCGGGTGGGACCAGATTCTTGGTTCTTGATGGAGCCGCGATCAATGGAGTAATCTACATGGGTAGTTGCGTGCTTCTTGGCTGATACATGTGGAGGCCCACAGCTTTTGCTTCGGGCCTCAGGACACAAAGGTGTGTTCTACAAAATCAGTGAAGATACTCAGCATCCTGTGGCAAATTTGGAGCTGCTATGGCTAGAAGACAATTTCGACTTTCCGACTGCTCTTGAGTTATCCACGTGCACAGCCAGCTCAGAGCACCGGCACCAGCACCCGGCACCCAGCACCAGCACCGGCGCCAGCAACCTGTCTCCACCACGTGCACAGCCAGCTCACAGCACCAGCACCAGCACCAGCAACCTGTCTCGAAATTATTTGAAGTAAGAACCCCATAGCTTCGCTATCTGGGGAAATATGGGATTCCTATCGAATGTCCAATGTGGTGTTCTGTGTTCAAGACCAAATATTCCAACACCACATGTCCGCTGAATCGTCACGTGTAAAGTAAAGATGTTTTTGTCTCACTTCACCGTTTACCGAGGCCGATGTGTTGTAGCTTCGTGCAGCTGTGAATGCATAACCTCTTCCACACCTTTATAAGTTCAAAGCACCAATGAGACTTCAAATCCGTGGATTGCTGCACGTTTCTCAAGGTTATCTAGCGGTTGACGGAAAGGGAAATTGAAGTGCTATACCTGGCAACTGAATTGTAGCTACCCTGAGTCCGTATACATGCTTTTTTGCTATACCTCTCACACACCTATATAAATTCAGAACACGAATGAGACTTCAAAACTGTGGACTGCTGCACGTTTCTAAAGGCTATCGAGCGGTTGACGGAAAGGGAACTTGCAGTGCTGTACCTGGTAACTGAATTGTAGCTCCCCTGGGTAAAAGGGAAATTGAAATGCTATACCTGGCACTGCTTTGTAGCAACCCTGGGTCCGCGCGCGCGCGCCTAAATCTAGGGCAGACCGAGAGCCAGCAAGGCGCGCGCGCGCGGACCCAGGGTAGCTACCGCTGCATTTTTACTATCTCTCTGACCAACAACCTGCTCGTGGACAAAAAACGCTCGCCTTTGTTTTGCAGTTTCTCAGGTTGAAAGATGATGTGAAGGATCTCAAAGACCACAAACTTTACCAAACCGTTTGGACTGGCACTCAAAGCGCTATTTTTGCTCGGTTTAATCACTGACATGGACCTCTGAGCTCCTACATGTATATCTGGATTTGACAGCACTGCGTTCATTTGTCGCGGTTTTCTTGTGGATATCTTATAAGGGCAACGATTCAGGCGCGCATCTCGACTTGTCCAAGTGTTTTGGTTTGGTCGCCTTCGATCTTTTCATACATCTATATATATAATAATACTGATATTCCATGTGCAGTGTAGGAATCGGTATTTTGTAGACCCACTCATCGATGTTCAAGACATGTTGCACTTTCGAGCATGCATCACAAAGTCATTGAACAGTACCAGAGTTTCCTGCATTCCCACGCTTTCATTCTCAGCATACGGCACGTGTGTTGATACACATCGAGACAAATTGAAACCCATGGCAGGAGGGCTGGTTAAACTACGGTGGGCCTAGTACTAGTTGGTTGTGGTTCGAGTCTTCAGAGGGTCCCTGTGAATTTAAGGCAAACAAATAGCAAACCCGGTCAAACACCTTGGATTTCAAGGATGCTCTGTCGTTGATGCCACGTCACGTATTCTTCAATAATTATATCCCATCATGCTCATCCCTTGTCGGAAACTCCACGGACCTATTTCTTGGTGTTGGAATGGCCAGTTCCATTGCATCAGAATAGCCGGTTGGCAGCCAACCCTTCCGGAAATCAGGAAAAACAAGAGGCCTCCTGAAAAGGGATCCAACCCCATCATCAGAACCATTTGAAGAAACCCCGGTGGCCTCGCTCTTGCGAGGTCGCAGCCGACGCCGCGCGGAGAAAAGGTCCCCGCGATCCGGTCGCAGGCGGTCGAAAACGTGCTTCGCTGCCTTGGCCATGTGGTTCAAACATGGTGAAGGAAGGACGGGAACAAGAACTGGCCGCAGATGAAGAGATGGAATGGCCGCAACCGAAAAGAGTATCCCAAAAGTTGCGTTTGGATCTCTTAGGCGTGTTTGCAACGTGTAGTGTAACAGTATACTTTGCAGTGGCTGGCTAGCGTCTTTCGTTTAACACAAAAGGCATACAAATAGAGGTTTCTTGCCGGCGTCATTTGCGACTGAACAGCCTTTGATTTAGCGCCAGTCAAAAACTCATGCGCATATTGAACAAATGCTTTTGCAAGGGTATCATTCCTCATATATTTCTCAATGTTGCACAACGACTATTACAGTAAAACAAGGGCCAAGGGTTTATGTCAGGAATTCAGACTGCGTGGGGCGCTTGGTTTGTGATAGTGTGCGAGATCCGATCTTCACTCTGACGCTTAACAGATCTTAACAGTCCCGTTTCTTGTGTCACGTAGGCATCCTTAACCTTTCTGTTCCGAATGCGGGTGTTGGATCATACATAGATGATCTGCTGGCAGTGGTTGGTGGGAACGGAGACCTGTCAGTTTGCAAACCGAGCGCGTGGTGGTTCGGGGCATTTCGAGGCTATGTTCAGGTAGGTGATTGAGAACCGAATGACAAGTATAGTGCTTTACTCTGGGATACTTTGGAGACGGTAGCATCGCTGGTTTTCATTACCATGTTTTGCTTTTCAGCACTTGGCGTAATTTAACGCATGGTCGGCGGTTCCTGGATGATTTGGAACCACCCTTTCCTTTTGACAGAGCTGGAACAAGAGCTTTGGTTTATAAGTGGCGCAGCAGTAGTTTGCCATGATGACATAGGCATCTCCGAATTCAGAAAACCATCCAAGCTCCGGGGCCCATAACAGGGAAGGAGCCGAGACGACTTGGGTTTGAGGGACAAATGATGGCTACGCTGGTTCGAGGGTCTGGACAGGTTCATCACACGACTACAAGCTTGTTACGTCGGCCTTTCAATCACAAGGAGATGTTTGGCGCAGTTCCCTGAAAAGCCCTTTGTATCTTGACGGTTTTTGAGTTGGGAACTGGCAAATTGAACATGTTTGAACCCGTTTGTCTACCGGAAATTGCACCACTTGCACTACTTCACTTGGGCCCCATGCCATGCGTCGCAGGCGTAGCCGAAAACGTGAGGGTGCCCCAGATAGCCATCACAGCATAGGCGGGATAGGCACCAGGGCTGAAAACACAGGTAAGGGGTTGTTGTCTCGCATTTTTGGGCTGTGGCCGTAGTTTCTGGTATTTGAGGTGCGGTTTTTAATTAGCGCTTGATTCATTGACTTAGTTGTAGCCGTAGCTGTTGCCTATATGATCTCTTGCAAGGTGTGATTCCATTCTTCTAGGCATGTGTTCGCTCACTCCACTCACTCACTCGCACTCACCTCACCTTACTTCTTGCACTCACTACCTCCCCTCACTCACTCTCCCTCACTCACTCGCGGAAAACTACCTCCCTCGCTCACTACCTCGCTCGCTCACCCTCACTCTCACTCTCACACTCACTCTCACTCTTCCGGACCCCGCCAACCGTACATGCAAGTATTGTCCTAACGTTTTCAAGTTCGAACTAGCCAGAAAGAACCACGAAAGCCACTCCCACTCAGAAGTGGCGAGATGGTTTAATCACCTCTCTCCCCAAAGGTCGCACCGTAAAGGTTCTGCCTCCGTCGTTCGTCGGGTGGCGATTGTTTCCATTTAGGGTTTACATGATGCTTCCATGCTCCGCCTGCCTAGCCGTGATAGCTATCAAACCGTGTATGCCCGCGCCCTTGCCCTTTGCAGTATCGCTCGTAAACGCAAACACGATTCCGTGGAAACCCGGGTCCAACAACAACTCGAGCTTGAACAAAAGGTCGTCCAGGGGATCGCTTGGATACTTTGGAGCTTCCCATGGAGTTGGAAACCTCGTGCCGGTTCACGAAGGCTCGCCAGGTCTGCAGGATTTGTTCAACCGGCTGGAGCAAGGTAGCACGCTGCACCGCGAAATTTGCAAGCACACCGGCGAAATCTTGGTTCGTGAAGTTCGTGAAGTGTTTGAACGTACTGTGGATGAGGAGGCTCTCCGCACGAAAAGTGCCGCACCTATAATCCCAACCGCACCTGGCTCGGGCCCATGGAGGTTGCGTGCTCGTGCTCAAAGGCACAACACCACGCCTTTTACATCCGCTTGCAGGCTGGAGAACCGACCCGCTTGGCTTTTGAACAATTGCGCGGAGTCATTGATTGGTCGCTCTACGTATATTCCACACTCGCAAAAGACGGACAACCAAGCCGCAGGTGTATCCGGATAAGGGCCCTCATCAACGCGCGGAGGCGATGCTCCGTGACCCCGCTCAGGCTCGGTTCGTATCGATTCATTGGGCACGGGATGTGCCAACTCATCGTGACTTCTCGACAAGCCCGGCTTCACCTTCGTCCTGGCCCACCCCGCACCTCACTCCCACTCTCACTCTCATTCCCATGCACTCCCACTCACTCACTCACTCACTCACTCACTCATGTCAAGAGACAAGTTCTTTTACAATAGTTCATTTACTCCATCGTACTGTTCATGTACAATTGCACGGTGCTATACAATGCACCTTGGATCGAGGCCTTGAGCCTAAGGACAGTTGCCAGAGGAAAACAATACAGAGACGTGCACAAACAAACGACAAACAAACAGCTGCTGAATTTTACATGGTAGCGGAGCAAGGATCCTGGTAACAACAATCCAGGTGAGCTCCAATACAACAACAGGAACAAGCCCACAAACACAGACAACGGAGAGCAAGCCTTGACCCTACAACAGGTAGCTTGCACAGCTGCAACAATGGCAGCACAACAAGCAGCAGCTCAAGCTGGAGATGGACTGCCTCCAGTTCCAGAAGATGAGACAACAGCAAACATAGCAAACATGAACAGATACCCTTCTTCAATGGAGACTATGGCACGTTCGAGGAATGGAAGTACAAGTTCACAGCATACATGGGATTGCAAGACAATGATTACACAGAACTACTACAAGCAGCAGAACGAGGCACAGCAGAGCTCACAGAGGTACAATTACGAGCAGCGGCATCAACAATCGAAGATGGTGAACGACATGTTCGCCTCAGCACAAATTTGAGGTACATCCTCATCAACACCACAACAGGAGCAGCAGCTACAGTCTGCAGACAATACCAAAACACAATTGGCTTCGAGATGTACCGACAATTGTGCATCCGCTTCTCCATCCCATTGGGGACAAGATCCATAGGACACTTGACAAGATTGTTGAAACCAACATTTGACAAGAACAACTTCGAAGAATCATTTTCCACATGGGAATTTGAACTACAACGATTCGAGCGAGACAATGGACAAACACTCCCAGACTCAGTGAAGATTGCCGTATTGCTCAGCGAGACAAGTGGACCACTACAACAACACCTACAACTGCTTTCAGGACAAAGCCCAAACTACGCACGAGTCAAACAAACAATCATCGAGTACTACAGATCAACAACAGCGTTCAGCAAACTACAACAACTACGATCACAATCATCCAGTGTAGCAACAAGCTTTGGTGGAGGACAAGCACCTATGGACATTGATGCAATCCACAAAGGAAAAGGGAAGTACAACAGTTACAAAGGAAAAGGAAAAGGAAAGAACAAAGGCAAAGGCTACGGAGGATACAACGGCTACGCATACAACAGTTACAACATCAACCACAAAGGAAAAGGAAAGTATGGAGGAAAAGGATTCAACAACTATAACAACAGTCCGATTGGCTTCGGCAATCCATTCGGAAGAGGCAACAAAGGAAACAAAGGATTCAGCAAAGGATACAACAAAGGCAAAGGAAAGAACAAAGGAAAACCAGCGACGGATACATGCTACCGATGTGGAAGAACAGGACATTTTGCCAAAGATTGCCGAGTGGCAATTCACAATATTGGACAAGGAGAACGCCCTGACATTGAGGATGCAACTGCACAATGGTACGACGACTACTATGACAACGGATGGTACTGTCAGGACTACACGAGACAACAACAAGGACAACACCCATTGGCACTACCGCCAATCCCATCCAATGACAACAATGACATGACACCAATCCATGTCATCGCCATGATCAGCAATGGCAATGACTACAAGACAGACACCACAAGCAGCGGCACAACAGACACTATGCACATCATGATCGACAGTGGAGCAGCCACTCATGTCTGTCCACTATGGTTTGCAGACAACTATCCAGTGTACAAGATCGACCGAGCACAAAGCCCAAACCTCAGGACAGTGACGAACAAGACAATACAATGCTATGGAGTAAGATGGGTCTACATGCAATCAAAAGGACAACCAATTGTCATACCATTCTATGTGTGTGACATCCATGACCCAATCCTGTCAGTGACAAGACTGGCAGAACAAGGCTTTGACATCAGGTTCAATGACACTCCAACAATGCGCCATGACAAGGGATTCAATGTTCCCTTGGTGCAGCAGCACAATCTCTACTACTTGCCAGCAACAGTCATGAACCTGGGACAACATCAACAACTACAGCTGAGACATACACAAAAGGGCATGATTGCAATGATTGCCCCAACAACACTGACAAGACATGGACCACAACAAGTCCTTGGAGGCAATAGCGACTACTGGAACTACAACAATGAAGGATACCTCGTACGGTATCACCGGAACAAGAGGAAAGCTCTCTTTGTTCCTGGCGACAATTGCCCAGTGCCACTGGAGACATTGAGCAACTACAGACGAACAATCATTCGGCGAACAGACGGGAACAACGAAGACATCGTTGAACAATACCATGACCTGAGCAAACACGAACAACGACGAGTGATACAAGGAGACACGGAGAAACATGGTTCAGAGTGAACAAGCCGCCAACACAGCCGGCACCTACAACAACGAAGACAACAGAGCAGACAGAGAAAGCATCACAAGCAATACAGGCACGACATCAGTCCACAACTCTACGAATCCCGGAAAGAGACGGGACAACACAACAGGCAAGCAGGGAGCCACTATACAGACACACAACGAAGAAGCCAGCACCAACAACCACGGCAGTACCTGATCCATCAACAATGACACCAACAACAGACTATTGGATCAGAGAAGGACACTATTGGAAACGAGTTCACGTACAAGCACGGACAACAATGTACGTACCACAACAGACAGATGATGGTCCAGACATCGGACGACTCAAACCTACCCGGACAACATTCGTGAGCAGAACGGAACAAGGAAGAGGATACACAATCCATGACAATTGGCAGGAATCAGGAGCAAGACAGCTTGACAGACAATGGACAGGATCAACAAACTCTGAGGAAGAAGCGACGTACAAGTACGAGTACGACACGGACAATGAAGATGAATCTCAACAAGCGCAACGCGCCAAAGGAATGAAGGCACCACAACAACCAACAAGACAAGAGAGGCTAGAACATGAGCTGACACACTTACCATATCGCTCATGGTGCCCAATATGTGTCAAGAGCAAAGGAAGAGCAGACAATCACCCAAAACAAGCAAGCAAACAACCAGTGATACAAGTGGACTTCACCTACATGAAAGCATTTGGAGACAAACAAGTACTACCAGTACTCACGGCAATAGATGTCGAATCAGGTATGGCAATGGCTGTTCTTGTACAAGACAGGAACCAACAACAACAATACCTGACACGATGTCTACAAACATTCATGTTTGAATGTGGACGAGCACAAGCAACACTATCCACCACAACACTACAATCAGACCAAGAAGAATACATACAGAACCTGCTGAAGATCGTCGCACAAAAGCTCGGAAACAACGTCAACATCCGACAATCACCGGCATACTCGTCACAATCACAAGGAAGCATTGAACGATTCCATCGCACCTTGATGGGACAAGTCCGAGCACTGGTACAACAAGTGACCACAAGCTGCAATCTCACATTGAGCGTACAACATCCGGTCATGCCGTGGATTGTACTGCATGCAGCCTGGCTACTGAACAGGTATGCCATGCACAATGATGGACAAACAAGTTACCAAAGACGATGGCAGAAGGACCACAAAGCACCACTATGCGAGATGGCAGAAACAGTACAATACATGATGCCAACAACAAAAG